AATTTGTTTAGTAAAACCTTTTCACAATCTAAATGGAAACAAATGTTGAAGTCAATTCTAGGCTGCTGCAAAGTATATATAACAGAGCGCAGAAACAAGAGTGTATTGGAGTTAATTGAAAGAGTTGCGAGGCTTTTCCCCTTAGCACCAATAATTAATAAGTTTGAAGGTGTGGCTTACAGTAGAGTTGGTTACACACTTATCTCTAAGTTGGATTCAGTGCCTAATGCACAATCATGTCATTTGACAAATGTTTTGTTGGCTATGGTTAAGGCTGCGTTTGATACTGTTCATTTTGAGCTTCATAGGGGAATTTATCCTAGACTTGGAGTGGTGGATCATATATGTTTTCATGTGAATTTATTGGTTTGTCTTGTTTCTAATTGGATTATTTGAGTCAAGTTGAAGAAGGGTTACAAATTAGTATCCTTCACAATTTTGTATTGCCTTTATGTTTCCATTTGACTAGTAGGAAATTACCAAGAATTATGATTTTTTGATTTGGTTTTTTAAAGTTTGATTTGATTTTTAAATTTTTTATTTTAGTCTAGTTGTTAGGAATGTAATATTGTGTTTGGAGCTACCATAGGTTATGGCTTATGAACAATATTTCTCTCAAAGTAGGTCAAGCCTTTCCAAGCAAAAACCATTGTTTTACTGCTTGCTTTTTTTCTTCTTCTTTTGTTTTGAATTAGAATTTCATGGGTCGTGTTTTTGTTTCTTGCAACTTTGATGCATGTTCTTGGCACCGATAATGTTGATGGAATTGACATTGCCCTCGGAAAATGTATTATGCCAGATCACAAAAGTGACATTACATGTTGTCTGTCTTTGATTATAATGCATTGAAATTATAGTATATATAGTTGAGAATTTGAGGATTTTTTTTGTTACCATGATCCTTTTCTATCCTTTTTTTGTATACACAAAAGTGGCATTACATGTTATCTAGCTTTGATTGTGATGCACAAAAATTATATAGTTAATGTTGATGATTCTTCTTATTACCCTGATCCTTTTCTATAACTTTTTATTGACTAAAATATTTTCAAAGTATGTCATAATTGAAAATATTATGATAAATAAAATCAATTTTCAAAATATGATTTTATTTCATAAAATTTGGGTCTTAAAAATCAGTTTTTAAAAAATAACTGACTTTTAAATAAATTAAAACCGATATTTATTCAATTTTAAAAATAATTCAAATTTATAAATAACGAGTTTAAAATTAGTTTTTAAAATAATTGGTTAAAAATCGGATTGTAAAAAAAATTAGTTGTGTAATTATAACCGAATTAATAACCAATTTTATAAACAGTTTTGATTGAAATGTAGTTATGATTATAAATCCAAACCATTTAAATGGTTTTAAAATGAATATGATTTTATTTTTAAAATTAACCAATTTTGCACACCCTTAATAATTATTTCCCTCTATTTTACCAAATAAATGAAGAAAATATTATTTATTATTTATTTTAAAATATAAAATAAGGACGACATCATTTTAATTATAAATAAAATATGAAATTATAGATATTGAGAATCGAAGCTTATCCTTAAAGAATTTTTTTCTCAATTTTCTTCAATTTACCCGCCAATTGAGGTAATAAATAGTATATTTTTTAATGAAAAATTAAAAATAAATTAAGACGTCTTATAGAGTGGTTTTTATCCCTGTTGATTTGTAAATCGAAATAAGTTTTTGTTAAAAAAATGTATTATTGGTAGTGGTGTATATTTATTAAAAACAATTAAATATTTCACTGTGTTTTTAATATTATTAATAAAAAATAATAATTTTAATTTGTTATTCAATGTGTTCCAATATTATTTAAATATTATTTCAGATGAGGTTTTGATCTCTAATTTTACGGATCCTATTGAAGCAATTGTTACAAGTACATATCCAAATCTAATTAATAACTACAAGGATTTAAACTAGTGTGCAAAATACCCAATAACCATAAACCAAATTCTTATCTAAATTAATCCAAATTTTAAAATTCAAACCAAATTTATATTTTAAATTTGGTGGCCCATTTATAAAATTAAAAAAAAAAAAACTGGTAACCATTGGTTTCAAACTGGATTGAGATTCGGTAACCATTTTTCAATTAATAGTTTAAAAAAATCAAGATCAACACAAATTTCAGAAACTCTAATCCTCAAAATCCAAATTTTATTCATCTCTTTTTTTTCCATCATTCTTCAAATTTCAAACCTTAATCTCATTTATATCTTAATTCTCTAAATCACAATTATAAATTTATCGAAATAGTTTTGTGACAGAAAAAGTTACAGACGGACGTTAAATACGGCGGAGTACGGAATGTTTCTACCTTAGACACATATATTGATATTCTGTGTGTCCATAACATGTTCACGTATATAGCATAACATTTGTTTCTATGCAACATGCTAATTTTTTTTCTTCCGTAATCATGTTTCTTTATATACTGGTGATGGCAAACTCAATCTCATCACTTTGCTTTGTCAATTGATATACACAAATTAAATTATTTAGATTTAATTTAATTAAATTCAGTCTGCGTTTTTTTTTTCAGGTTAAGCAATCATTTATAATAATGAAACACAAGTGGAAAATTTAACAATTCTTGCAATTGCAAATATGTGTTAGTAAAAAATTGGTTTGCAGAGAAACCGGTTTAAAATTGGTTTTTAAAAAAACTGTTTTTTTTTTTAAACCAATTTGAAACCGAATCAATTCACTTATAAATCGGTTTTAAAAAAATAAACCAGTTTTATATAATTGGTTTTAAGATCCAAACCAAACCATATATGTGGTTTGGTTTGGTTTGATTTATAACCCATGCACACCCCTAATTCAAACTATATTCAAAGTAGAGAAATTTTGGCTTCTACTATAGAAGTGGTTGATGATATCAATGATTATATCACAAAGTTGATTCCAGGTACTTAGTTTCACTATTACTATATCAAGTCAAGCATTTCTATATGATTAAAGATACTATAGTTACATACTAATTATTGATTTTTGGCATTGAAGGAGAAGAAAAGGAATATCTAAGTAGTGATTCAATTGACAAATCTGAATCTACTGACTTTGATGCATTTGAACACTTGACTCTAAAATTTTTGAATTCTCTTAAAGCATTAGGGTTGCCAAATAATTCTATCAAGTTGAAAATTGACACAACTATTATGTTGTTGTGTAACTTAGATCAATTTGAAGGATTATGCAATGGTACAAGACTCACTGTCACCAAACTTGCAAATTATATCATCGAGGAAAAAATCATTTATGAAACAAACATTAGGAATATCATTTATATTCCGCTGATGGACATGTCTCCTTCACAATCACCTTGGCCATTCAAATTAGTAAGGAGACAATTTCCTATTATTGTCTCATTTGCCATAACTATTAACAAATCACAAGGTCAATCATTAGACTTTGTTGGACTATACTTACCAAAAGAGGTTTTTAGCCATGACCAGCTATATGTCTCAGTTTCAAGAGTGAAAAGTAAAAAAGGTCTCAAAATATTGATTCATGACAAAGATAAACATTGTTCAAAAATTACAATGAATGTGGTTTTCAAAAAAGTTTTCAAAATATTTTATAGGTGATCACAATCTATATATGTTCCCACTATATCTACTATTTCATGTTTATCTTACTAAATATCTTTTCTATGTGTTTTCATTGATGTAATACTATCATGTTATGTTAACATATTGGCTGAACATTTTTGAATAATTCAAGTATACATCAACTACATAATCATGATGATAAAGGTTTAAATTTATGCTGTGAAAGGACAATTGGTTAGAAGACATTTATTCATAAGGTTTGACTTGACTTGCAATTAGTATGTTCAACGCACTTCTTGGATTTCTGTTTATCTGGCAATGATTTTAATTATGTACTTGATTATGCTGGGTTGTGTATTAAATTTTAGAGTTGATCAAAATCTAAAGTTTGAATTGTTTTTCTTATGTTATCTACAGTAGAAATTAAGTTGTCTATTCCAAATGTTATTAAATTCATATTAAATTAGCATTCTCACATCTAGTAAAAATGTTACGGTAGGAATGCATTCATATTAATGAATTAGGCACTAACACTACTAATGTTCCAATGTTTTAGGACAGCTGCAGAACAACATATTAAAATCCATGGACAATAAGTCTGTTAGGTTGATATAGTTGGTTCCAAGATGTATTTTAGACATGTTTGTATGGTTCAGGCAACATGATACAAAATGTTGTAATAATTATATACTCTTGAATATGGATGATGTAGTTTTTCTTCTTCCTCTAAGTTGCCTTATGGTGGAAATATTTGGTATTTCTATCATCCTCTTTGAGCCAAGAGCTTTTATCACTTTGGCTCCACCAAATGTCCTCATTAAGGAGAGCTTTATAAAGCTCCTTTTCAGCTTCAATGATCTTGATTATATTAGAGTAATTGGGATTGAATTGTCTTAACTTATCCAAATTGAGTTGAGCAATTTTGCTAGCTTTAAGAATGTCCCCAAATTTTTGCTTTCCCCGGCTGGCTAGAGTAGCTTTAAGAAAATGTATTATTGGTAGTGGTGTATATTTATTAAAAACAATTAAATATTTCATTGTGTTTGAATATTATTAATAAAAAATAATAATTTTAGTTTGTTATTCAATGTGTTTGAATATTACTTAAATATCATTTTAATATATATGCATTTTATTTCATCATTCATTTTCAAAATTTCTCAAAACAATTGTCAACATGTTAAAAAGAGCAACTGAGTGTGTTAATAAATATGAAACTTAATAAATAAAATCATTGTTGCTCAATTGGCAAGGTTATATGTTATTCTCTCCTTAGGTCCATGATTAGAAATCCATAAGACCAAAATCTTATTTTGTATATGAAACTTGTATTAGTTACATATATTTTAAAGACATGATAAATATAGTGCTTATTATACCACTTACAGATAGATACAATTTGAAATTAACTAACAAAATTAACAAATTGGAAGAGGAGAACCATTCCACTCTCCCAAGCATTCAAGAAGAGGATCAATGATTTTCCCCTCACACATAGCTGTGAACAATTTGTCACACTCTTCACCTGGTGAAATAACCTTTTCTCCTGTTAACAAACAAGTTCCCAACTCTTCTCTCACAAATCTATAAAGTGGACAAGATCTACATTCATTGATCTTGTTTGGAATTGTTGGATTTCCAGTCTCATATTCAAATCTTGCACTTTCAACCTCTTTTGGCAACATGGCCTTCAACTCATCCTCAAAAGTTGCAATCTTTTGAAAGATTGAAGTGTTCAAATTATTCTCACTTTCTCCATTTACTAATGCATGATCCACTAGCACTTGCCTTAGTTTTTGCATCAATGGATATGTAGCACTACAAGGATCATCAATATAGGCAAACACGTGCTCCCTATCAACCACTCTCAATAAGTCCTTTTCACAAAACCGTGAAGGATGGAGTTCTCCGTTGACACCGGTTGTAAGCGTCCTTTTCGCAACTTGGCTTACGATATTCTTAACCGAGTTTTTCAAATTCTCCTCCAAATGTCTTAAGTCAATTGCTTGACAAAGTGCAATCAAGAATGTGGAGGACATGAGTTGAAGAATCTCAATGGCTTCGTATGTTTTCCGAGAAGAAATCAAACCCAAAGAGTTCACATCTTGGTTGTGTTGCTCGGCACTTTGAACATGAGTTGTGACCGGATTCGCAAGATACTGTAACTCGGAACAATAAGAAGCCATGGCAATTTCAGATCCTTTGAAACCATAATCCAAGCTGGGGTTTCTACTGGCAGAAAGATTTGAAGGCAGACCGTTATTGTAAAAATCGTTAACAAGTTCGGAGAATTGAGCAAACATGAGTTTACCGATTGATGCGAGAGCCAAACGCGTATTATCCATGGATACTCCAATAGGTGTTCCTTGAAAATTTCCACCATGCAAAGCCTTGTTTCTTGAAACATCAATCAAAGGGTTATCATTAACAGAATTAATCTCCCTCTCAATTGACTTAGTGGAGAATCTAATCACTTCAATCAAAGGACCGAGCCATTGCGGTGAAGTTCTTAGCGCGTATCGATCTTGTTTTGGTTTCTGCAAAGGATCCATCTCATGCAACTTCTTAGCTGCTTTCACATAAGCACTTCCATCCAAAATATGTTCCATAATAGCAGCAGCTTCAATTTGACCTGGATGATGCTTCAACTTATGTGTCAAATGATCAGTAAATTCAGGTTTTCCTTGCATGACTTCAGCGAAAATAGCGGAAAGGACTTCAGACAATACGGCCAGAATGTTAGCTTCAAATAGAACAATGGAAGCTAAACCAGAACCAACAGCAGTTCCATTAACAAGTGCAAGACCTTCTTTTGGTTGTAATTCAAAGAAATCAGCATTGATTTCAGCCAACTGAAAAGCTTCTTTTGCATTAAGGATCTCTCCAGAGGGTCCATGAGCTTTCGAATTCGGTCTTCCGGTTAGTAAACCAGCAATGTAAGATAAAGGGACTAAATCTCCTGAAGCTGTGATTGTACCTCGAAGCGGCAAACAAGGAGTAACGTTGTTGTTAATAAGCTTGGTTATGGCTTCTAGGATCTCAAATCTAATGCCTGAATAGCCTTGGAGAAGTGTGTTGATTCGCACTAACATAGCAGCTCTTGTTGCTGTGTGTGGTAATGTGTGGTTTGAGTCAGTTCTATTTCCAAATATTCCAGCATTCAAAAATCTGAAAAACAAGAAAAAAGTAAATTAAGTTTGAGAATTTGCTAACATATGAAAATTCAGAATACAAAACATTCAAACAATAGGTGTAATTACCTGATGAGTTCTTTCTGCAGAGCACCACCTTGTTTTGTTCGGCGATGTGAGGTTGCACCAAAACCAGTGGTGACACCGTAGCTGTCTGTGCCTTTATTCATACTCTCCATCACCCAGTCACTGCTGGCCTTAACACCAGCTCTTGCGGATTCCGACAACTCCACCTTCATGCCATGGTCGTGTGCAGCAATGGCAGCCACCTGAGAAATTGTCAGCGTCTCGCCACCAAGTCGTACCACCGGCTTCCGATACTCCTCCACCATACGTTTCACCTCATCCAGATGACTTCCTTTCATTGCCTCTGCTGCTGCACCCCAGTTCAAAGGATCGGCGCTATTCACTTTCATTTTATTATTTTTCGCATTCGTCAAACAGAAAGAATCATAGGTTGCATTGTTGTTTTCTGTAATGGCTGCTGCTACTACTTCCATCTTAGTTTGTTGATATACTAATGTTTATTTGTTGTGTTTTGGTAGAAGTAGTTAAAATTTTGAGAGGATGGTAAGTGAAAATAAATGATTATGAAAGAAAGAACGAAAAAGAAATTGTAGTAGTTAATTTCTTGAGATGTGAAGGTAGAGTTGTTGAGCTTTATATAGAGGTTTGTTTTTGAGTTTATTCTATCTTGCATTTGCATTTGCATGTGTGTTAGGTGGGTGAAGAGAGACAAGTTGCGCCAAGAGTAGAAAAAATAAGCGGGTTTGTTGAAAATGAACTATGGCCGTTTGATTACTAATCCTTAATATTGATCGGTTATGATCATGCTACTCGGATCTTGGTTGGTAGATATAGTATATAGGTGAATGGAAAATGGAATTTGACTAAAACAAAAAAGAGGTAGTTGGTGAGAAAGATAGTGGAAACAACCGGTGAGAGCTGGCGAGCCAATTACATACATGAATTGACCGTGACTTATGATGACTCTCATATTCAACTATGATGCTAGGTCAACCATCTACTTATATATGATCCAACATCAATTTTATATATATATATATATATATATATATATATATATATATATATATATATATATATATATATATATATATATATATATATATATATATATATATATATATATATATATATATATATATATATATATATATATATATATATATATACTTTTAAATAACTATTTATCTAATGTCTCTCAATACGTAAATGACTCATTCTTTTTAGATATTGTTGTTGAGTTTGGAGAGAAAAATAAAAATTTTAAAGGGAGAGAAAAATAGATTATTTTTTTAATTTTTTAAAAGGTTTTTTTATAAGTATTATGACAAATTATTACTTGTAATTAATATATTTTTTTGGTGACAATAGTTTTTAGGGTCAATTTTAACATTTAAAAAATTATCAATGAAGTACAATTGCAGGGATACATTTCATAGCAACTTTGAACATATTTATGTATACTGTTCATTTGAAGATGAAGTACCACAACGTCTATGACGAGGTTGATAATGTAAATTTGGCAGGAGCTTGTCGCTATCACAAGGCTCTATTGAAAAAAAATGGATGTAATTCTGTATGGAAAAACTAGAAGGTAAAAATGTCAGATCTTCTAGACAACACTCTCTAGGCATCAACATTGCGCACTTCGACGCACGTATAACGGAAGCCACATTTGAAAATGAACATGACTCGGAGATACCTTTCTCCATCCAGGCCAGAATGAAGATACTAAGGTCGGACCCTGATAGAAAATATGTATCCATGTAACTCGATGATAACTTGACTCATACTGTAAAGAATGGGGAAAACTTCCCAAGTTCTATGGAGGAGGGACTTATCAAATTCCTAAAGACAAATGCACACTTATATGTTCTTTCTCCTAGGAAGATGTTAAGAATCTCCCCAGCGTGGCATGCCATTATTGAATGTGCTAAAAACTAACGTCATTGTTTCCTTGAAGTTATTATTAAAGTTAGAGAAAAATTTTCAATATCTTGATAATAGGTTTTATGAACTAATAATGACTTGGCGATTAAATATACTAGATTTTGAATGGTGCCTACCTCTCTCACAAAGACGACACTTACTGCCATTATTACATAAAACACATATAATGACGGTTGTGAAACACATACAATGCGGTTTCACGTCCGTTGTTAGGTAGTTTGTGATTGTATTTGTATGTATCTAGGTTTCCACAACGGACGAGTGAACGTGGTTATAAGTAGCGCGCTACTTATAACAACGATTAAAACAAACAATCGTTGTGAAATAATTTACAGGTCTTGGGTTCTAATCCCAACAACACCATTATTTCCTTTTATTATTCTGGATAGTGTGCGCTATTTATAACAACTGTTGAGTTAAAAGCCGATGTGATATAATTTGTTTTTTATATATAATTTTCAATTTTACAGTATTCTCAAATTTTAAAATTGAATATTTCTGAATTGTATCAGACCAGAAACAACAATACAACCATTTGTGAATTTAATTAGACCAAAAATAGTATTACATCAATAACGCAATTCCATTAGGAACCAAAAATTATATATTACATCATAATCAAAATGGCAAAAAACAACCTTCAATGTACACATCATTACATCAAATAAATTATGAATGAAGAAAATACTTGTTAATTTTTCCATATGTCTTCTTGATGATCGTTAAGAGTAGCATGTACATCATCCCTATCAATTTCTTCATATGAAGTAGGCACTTCTGTTGCATAAGATGTTGAAGGAATATCAAACTTTCATCATCACTAGAAGAAATGTGTTTTACTTTGAGAACAATTGACCATCTTTTCAATAAGTCTGCAAGGTCTTTAACATAAAAAAAAATTATTTTGTTTGAGTAGCCATGATGAATGGTTTAGTGTTATAAGTTTCTCTGCCAAGGTCAACACGTACACATCATTACATCAAAACCAAAATGGCATAAAATAATTTACAATGTACACATCATTACATCAAATAATACTATCTTGTTATTTTGGTGTCTTGACTTTAAACATATATAAGTTTAAATAACATTAGTTGTTAGAAAATAAAATCGTTGAAAATTCTAACATAAAATAAATTATGAATGAAGAATATAAAATACTTAACTTGTTAATTTTCCCATATGCCTTGTTGATAATTGTTATGAGTAGCATGTACATCATCCCTATCAATTCATTCATATGAAATAGGCACTTGTGTTGCATAAGATGTTGAAAGAATATCAAAACTTTCATCATCACTAGGAGGAATGTGTTTTACTTTGAGAACAATTGACCATCTTTTCAATAAGTCTGCAAGGTCTTTAACATAAAAAAAATTATTTTGTTCGAGTAGCCATGATGAATGGTTTAGTGTTATAAGTTTCTCTGCCAAGGTCAACACATACACATATCATTACATCAAAACCAAAATGGCATAAATAACTTACAATATACACATCATTACATCAAATAATACTATCTTGTTATTTTGGTGTCTTGTCTCTTGGTGTCTTGACTTTAAACACATATAAGTTCAAATAACATTAGTTGTTAGAAAATAAAATCGTTGAAAATTCTAACATAAAATAAATTATGAATGAAGAATATAAAATACTTAACTTGTTAATTTTCCCATATGCCTTCTTGATAATTGTTACGAGTAGCATGTACATCATCTCTATCAACTTCTTCATTTGAAGTAGGCACATGTGTTGTATAAGAAAGAGTGGAAGGAATATCAAAACTTTCATCATCACTAGGAGGAATATGTTTTACTTTGAGAATAGTTGACCATCTCTTCAATAAGCCCGCAATGTCTCTCACATAAAAAATTGTTTTGCTTGAGTAGTTATGATGAATGGTTCGATGTTATAAGTTTCCTTGCCAAGGTCAACACGTCCACATCATTACATCAAAATCAAAATGACACAAAATAACCTATAACTTACACATCATTACATCAAATAATACTATCTTATTATTTTGGTGTTTTGTCTCTTAGTGTCTTGACTTTAAATACATATAAGTTCAAGTAAAATAGTTGTTAGAAAATAACATCATTAAAAATTATAACATAAAATAAATCATGAATGAAGAATATAAAATACTTACTTGTCAATTTTTTCATATGCCTTATTGATGATCGTTACGAGTAGCATGTACATCATCTTTATCAACTTCTTCATATGAAGTAGGCACTTGTGTTGCATAAGGAGTAGAAGGAATATCAAAACTTTCATCATCACTAGGAGGAATGTGTTTTAATTTAAGAACAATTGACCATCTCCTTGATAAGTCCGCAATGTATCTCACAAAAAAAATTGTTTTGCTTGAGTAGCCATGATGAATGATTCAGTGTTATAAGTTTCCTTGCCAAGGTCAGCACATGTGAATACTAACTCATCAATTTGTACACCATTGTTATTAGGAATCCACTTGTATTTAAATAAAGGTACTTTGAAAATAAAATAATCAATATCCAAAATCTCCTAAATGACACCATAAAATGCGGTGGTTGCCAAAATAGGATTCTTATTTTTCGAACTAGAGAAATATATGGATTCAGTCTCAACCATAACACCACTGTTTTGCATTGTATTACGATCATTTTCTGCTATTGTGGAGAAAGGCACAAATATTATTAACATAATTGTCCCCTTTATTTAATTGTAGAAAACTAATTTAGGGTTGAGAGACATAGAAAGAAAATAAGGATTCAAAAGAGAGAAAAGAGGAGAGAAATCTATTCTCGTTTTCTGCAATAGATTTCACTAAATCAAAGATCCTGGATTCTTTAACTGTTTGATCGAGCTCAAATTCGGAGGGCAGGTTTGCAACACACGTATCTAGATTTTGACCGTTCAAAATTTCAAAACAAGATCTGAGCTGAGAGATATCTGCTTTGCAATGAAGCTGAAGATTTGGGTAAATTTTCCAACTTTCTTATTCATATTTCTAAGCTAGTTTGCTTCGTGATTTATGGTTGTTAGAACTAGTTTGTGAATCACTTTAAGACTCTCTTGTACACTTAATTGACTATAGTAGATCTATTTATTTGGTTTGAATGATTCATGGATTTTAATCTCATATTGAGGGGCTTTCACGTTAAAATACCAGTGTTTTTTTATGCCTTTATTTGTTCGATTTGTCATTTTATATTTGTTGTTTGTCCTCAAGGTTCCTATAAGTGTGGGAAATTTTATATATATTGGGCTTAATTGCAACTATGATCCCCCTATTTTGTATTTTTTTTTTAGTTTTGATCCATCCATTTTAAAAACCACAATTTTGATCCCTTTTTTAAGTTTTGAGTTTAATTTTAGTCCCCTCTCCAATTTGAGACATTTTATTAATGTTGTGGCGCTATCCAAGATGATGTGGCAATGCCAAGTCATTTTAAAATTAATTTGAGACTTTAGTTATTGATTAGGATAATTAATTTATTAATATTATTTTCATTAATAAATAAATAAATTATTAATT